GATCATAGTCAACTTGCGTGCTTCGTATTCGCCCGTAACCTAGTTGACTACAAGTTGGGAATCGCTGCAGATAACTAAGTGTTTTTCCCTTACTTTTTGCGCTAGGTTCAGTCTAGGTATCAATGCCTCATACACCGCCTCGTTGTTGGATGCCGCGAACTCAAAGCGTAGTGCGTATTCCAATTTCGTGCCACCTGGGCCGCGTAGTACTATTCCAACCCCACTCCCCTGTTGGTTCGAGGAGCCATCTACATGAACGATCCAGGGCTCCTCATCCCAGTTCGCGTTTGTCCTAACCAGGAGAGATGCCACACTGGCTACTACTTCACGGGGTTTAGACTCTATTGGCTTGGGAGCTCCATGCTCACTCGAACTGGGGATCTCGGGCTCGACCGGCCTGGGGACTTCGAGGCTGAACGTGCACTCGGCGAAAAAATCTGCCAAGGCTTGGGCCTTAATAGCAGTTCGTGGCTTATATTGGAGGTCGTACTCGCTGAGTTCGATGGCCCACTTCGTCAGCCGACCGGAAACCTCGGGCTTGAGTAAGACTTGCCTCAGAGGTTTGTCAATCAAGACAATGACAGTGTGAGCCTGGAAATATGGGCGGAGTTTTCGAGCTGCTATCACCAATGCATATGCTAGCTTTTCTATCTGCGGGTACCTTGTCTCTGCACCCTGCAAAATTTTACTAACATAATAGATGGGTCGTTGGACCCGATCTACTTCTTTTATTAGTACCGAACTGACCACCTCGTCRCTTGCCGAGAGGTACAGTTCTAAGACCTCGCCCTCCTCGGGCCAGGCTAAGATCGGCACTCTAGCGAGGTAGTTTTTTAGCTCGTCGAACGCGAGCTGGCAGTCTTGGGGCCATTCGAACCCTTTGCCTTTGATTGCTTTAAAGAAAGGCAGGCAACGGTCTGCCGATTTGGACATGAAGCGGCTCAGAGCGGCTATGCGGCCGTTTAGCCTCTAAACCTCTTTTACTTTTCTGAGTGGTCTCATATCTAGGATGTCCTTTATCTTGTCCGGGTTGGCCTCAATACCGCGCCGGTTGACAATGTACCTTAGGAACTTACCCGAAGTGACACCAAAGACACACTTGTTTGGGTTCAGTTTCATGCTAAATCGACGCAGAATTTGGAAGACAGAATCTAAGTCTTGTATTAATTCCTGTGAAAACTACGTCTTGAAAACCATGTCGTCTACATAACATTCTATTTTCGTGCCAATTAAGGGCCGAAATAGCCTATTTACAAGTCTTTGGAAGGTCGCCCCAGCATTTTTCAATCCGAAGGGCATGACCTTGTAGCAGTACAGGCCGAACTCGGTTATGAAGCTTGTTTTTTCCTCATCAGACTGGTCCATCCTGATTTGGTTGTAGCCCGAGTAGACGTCCAAGAAGCTTAGCAACTCATGTCTCGAAGTCGCGTCCACTAGGCGGTCAAATATGGGGAGGGGGAAGCAATCTTTCGGGCAAACTCGGTTCAGGTCGGTGTAGTCGACGCACATGCGCCATTTGCCGTTTGCCTTTTTCACCAGCACTGGGTTAGCTACCTAGCTTGGGCAATGAACTTCCCTTATGAAGTTTTCTACGACGAGCTTTTCGACCTCCTCGTCGACCGCCCTCCAGYGCTCTGGGGCTAAGTTGCCTTTCTTCTGTCTAATGGGTCTGACTATAGGGTTAGTATCTAGTTTGTGAGTTATAAGGCTGGGGTCAATACCGGGCATATAAGCCGCAGACCATGCAAAAATATCTAAATTTTGAAGTAAAAAACTCACCAGTTCGGTTCGTAGAGGTTCCTTGACGGAAGCACCGATCTGTAGCGTGCAAGCTGGGTCTGTAGTCGAAGTCGGGATTGCGACCGTTTCCTCTGTGGGCAAAGCTCGTTCCTCACCTTGCTTCGTAAGCCGCTCCAGTTCAAGGTCGTCGGCCGCCTTGGTTTTTCCCTTCAGGGCAGCAACATAACAGTTGCGGGACTCAAACTGGTCGCCCCGCGCTACCCCCACACCGAAGTCTGTAGATTACTTCATTGCCAAATAGTAGGTGGAGACCAATGCCTGCATGATATGCGTAATTGGCCGCCCTATTATAGCATTGTATGGGGAGGGGGTCGCGACCACCAGGAAATCGTGGTTGAGTCTGACCGCACAAGGCCATGTGCCGAATTCCACAGGTACTATTATTTTCCCGAGGGGCCTGACTTCCTCTCGGCTGAAGCCCACCAGAGGAGTGTTCGCGGGCTTCAGCTCGCTTCTCTGCAACTGTAGTTGGTCAAATGCTAACTTGAAGAGGATGTCTACCGAACTACCCGAATCCACAAGTACGCGCCTGACCTCGAAATCGTTGATCCTTAGTTTTATGACAAGTGCGTCATCGTGGGGGTAGTGGACCCCTCGCACATCGTCTTCCGTGAAGAAGATCGGTTCTTCAGTCTTCGACCTCTTTGGAGAGTTCTGTTCTTCTCAGGCAGCTTCGCGAACCGACGTTCAGGCTGTTGCCGAAGTACACCCTGCTACCACCGAACCTCCCACTATCACATGRATGGTTCCCCGAATTGGCCTCTCTTCCAAAGGCTGTCGTTGCAACGGTTCGGCTGGCCTGCTGCTGGATTCGAGGGCATCCTTTCCGTGCTCCCCTTGTCGACCTGCCTTATTGTTATTATTATTATTATGTTGTACAAAATTTCTCAAGTATCCGCAACGGATGAGTCCATCCCTCTATCTCGTCCCGGAGATTATTACACCGTTCGGTACTATGACTGTGATCTCTATGGAAACTACATTACACGTTTTTATTTCTCTCGTTTGGGTTTCCCTTTAGGCGAGGTGGCCATTTTACGTATGGGGCGTCTTTGATCGTCATCAAGATCTCGGTCCGCCTCGTGTTTAACGGTGTGTAGTCCGTCCAAACTACTAAGGGAGTTCGAAACGACTGGCTCGGCTTCGGCTCCCTGGCCAGGTTTTTTCTTTTGTCGATTGGGTTGGAGGGTTCATCTTCCCTATTTCTTTTCTCGATCCCGCTTTCGGTCCTTTGGTTGATCTATTCCTCTAATTTCATGAACTTATCCACGAACTTGAGGAATTTGGCCACGGTTGCGAGCTGATTAAGTACCATGTGCCATTTGAACTCCTTGTGGGTTACTCCTCTCTTGGCCACCGCGAGCTGCACCGCGGGGTCTAATCGCGATATCTGCAAGCACGCGCCATTGAACCGCTTGATGTAGCCCCGAATGGACTCTCCTTTCCTCTGGAATACTCCGAAGATGCTTTCCTCGGTTCTGAGGCACCGCTTGCTGGTGACAGTGTGCGATGAAGACCTGCACGAACTGGGCCCAGCATCTTATCAACCCGGTGGCCAGATTCCTGTACCAAGTGCGGGCTACCCCCCTGAAGGTGGTGGTGAAGGCCACGCACATGCACGATTCACTGGCTCTATCTAGGTGCATTTGGCACTAGAAAGCATCGACGTGGTCGTTGGGGTCAAATGATCCATCATACTTGTCCAAAGGTGGGAGCTTGAAGTCTCTGGGCATGGGGACTGCCAGAAGTTCCGATGCGAGGGGGGAAGGAACTGAGAGAATCGGGGCAACTTTTACCTCTTCCGAGCTTGTCTCTTCTTTACCTCTGAGCTCGGGCAGGACACGGGTGGCAATTCGACAACTTTGCCGGCGCCTTCGTTGCTGAGTGGGCCTGGTGCTGGCGCTGCTAGCCTCTATGTTGCTGAGCTCGATGGGCCCGGGCTGTTGGTAGTCTGTCGCTAGGACGCTGAATCGATTCTCTGTCAGCGGGAGCTCAAACTTGGAGTGTCGAGATAGTAACTTCGCTGGCGAGGTGCCTGACCCGCCGGCGAGCTACGAGGCAGGGGTGATTTTTCTTTCCCCTCAGCTCGGAGATGAGGCCTGGCTCTTGTGGGGGTTCTGAGGTTGGGAGGCCTCTCCTCGGTGACGGCGTCCACCCTGAGGAGAGGGCTTAACTGGCCTTGGAGCAGGGTGCCGAGGAATTGGTTCAGTAAAGGTTGTTTCGATAGGGAGAGGAAAGGGAACGTTCATGGCAGGAAGATTTACGGACGCCACTGTTTGTGGTGCATTCAAACTGGGAATCCCATCCACCGGAAGGGGGATGATGAACTGTCTGATGCACACCACGGGGACTTGAAGTTGTTCCCCGGTGGTGTTCACCTCCGTGCCACATCCGGCATTGCTAGAAGAAGTCATGAGTGTTGGGGTTTTTGAAAAAAAGAGGTTATGAGAGTTTTAGAGGGAGGCTTTTAGAAGCGTTTCCCACAGACGGCGCCAATTGATGGTGCGCAATCCGGCCGGTCCTAGCTGTCAACGACCTTGCCTCTGACTGGAGCAACAGGGGGCCTGAAACGGAGAAGAAAATGGGGAGTCACCGGGGAAGAACCCGGTGAGATTGCTCTGAAGCTAAAGTTAGTATTCCCTCAAAGGCAAGATAAAACCAGATGGCGCAAAGTTCACATACCTTATTCTTGGGGGGTAGAAAGCCTTTTATAACCACTTCGCGCACTCACTCCTAGGCCTCTGTCAGGTCGGGTATGATTGCTTCTGTGCTTCTGCCAGTTCGGGTGTCATCACCTCTGCTGTGACAGAACCGCCACTACTCTTTGTCGGAGTCGTCTCTGTAACTGAAAATGGCGATGGCAGGTGGCCGTTGGAGTGCGGCTGTCAAGCGTCAAATCCCAAGTCAGTCAGGTGCGCCGCCCCTGGATACGGACTCCTTTAGTGTCAGGTATAGTGTGGTTTGTCTAGTTTGGCGTCCTGGAGGCGAAGTGTTGGAGTGGTGTGCGAAGTGAAGTCTTGAGTTCGGATAGAGGTGTGGCCCGAACTGCCATGGGGCAGGCCAGTTTGGGTTGTTGCCCTTTGTGTTCGCAAGGCTCGGGGCCTAAGGGAGAGCTCGAGCTCCTTTCGGGGAGTTCGGGCTCTTTACAGGGAGTTCGGACCGCTAATTCCTCCTTTCGGAGCTCACGCCTTAGCGAACTGTTATACCAAGCTGTTGCCTTTGCCATGTGTTGAGTTTTCCAGATCTGAAAACTCAAACCAAGAGCAACAATCAATGATCTCGCAGATAATAACAACTATATCGCATACAAGGAATCTTGCATCTGGTTCCAGCATATCAGAAACCTTCATGAATTGGAAAACAAAATTATTCCATGTCTTTGTACAGATAGAAGATTCCTTCCACACAGTTTTTGCAGGGTTCTTTTGATTAACCACTACCATCCTGTATCTGACCCAAAATTTCTTGTCTGGATCACTTCCAACTGATTGATCACTCTCCAGATATATACATATAGTGTCAAAAGACTCATACACACCTGCATTATAATCAACCAAGGTGGCATCAACTTGAGATAAGACTGTCATCAAATAGGAAATCTACAACTGCATATTAAGCAATAAATAAATAATATCCATGTACCAATCCGAAGTTCACATCCACCAGATTGAAAGAATTTGATAAATATTTTTCGGGTTTCCATTATTTCCTTGAAGGATAAGAAATTCTCAACCTTCCATGTAAACGATCCTCTTTTCCCAACTCCATCAATTTGAGAACCTGCATTGTTTGACCCCATGTCTTGATCAGTGAAATCCTGCATTATTGATGTTTCCTTCAAGATGGGAACCTCCGTTGAGAACACGACAGTATCTTGAACAAGAATCCCAGAGTCCTGATCAAAGAGACTAGCAAGTGTGATAAACTCGTGCCAGCCCCAGTCCCTTACAGCCTTGGAGTACCGGTTTTGCGACTCCTTTGTAACAGTTTTCTCCTCCATCCTTTGATTCCTTGACTTTTCACTAGGCATTTGCCTAGTTGTTTAAAAATGGGATCAAACACAAATAGTATTTGATCCATGAGACTGGTGGATCAAATTTGTATTTGTATGTATTTGCACTGCACATATTTGTATTTGTGCTCTTTCCAAACTAAGCCTATACTTCTGAAACTAAGCAATAATGTGTTTAAAGACCTGTACATGTGTGAGTAACTAAGTTTTACCCAGAAGCATAAAATCACAACCCCCAATTTTAGGTTTCATTGTTTGGGGTTTAAAAGTGTTTTGGCTTTAGATTATTATGTTTTTAAAAGCACTTTTTGGCTCATTTTTATTTCCCACAGCCCAAAGCAACTTTTTGGCTCATTTTAAAGTAACTCTGGGTAGCTCATTATACATGGACAAGTCCTTTTCATGTACCTATGCTATTTGTAGTTATAACATTGCATTTTGTCATGTCTTTGACTTTCAAAGTCCTACATGCACTTCTTCAACTTCTTATTAGTTGTTCTTCCTTTATGATTCTTTTCCAAGCAATAAATGCAAAGGTCTTGTCTACTCTCAAGGTTACTTAGATTAGAGTGATGGTGTGGCTTTTGTAGTAGAGTGTCCATATCATAATCAGAACCGGAAATAATGAGCTAATAGGATCTTGTCTTCTTCCTTATCAGCTAGAGGTACAACTTTGGTGGACCTAACTTGAACACATTGCATTGTAGATTAAAAAAAGGAATTAGAAACAATTGTGCTTTGATTTGGGGCATTGTATTGGATCTACTCCAGAAAGTCATCAAGCCTACCCACAACTTGGGTTGGCTTGGATTGAGCCCTAGTATATCTTAAAGTCAAACCTAGCCTAATCCAACTTGATCCCAGTTGATCCATCATAACCCTATGAGCTATTTGCTGTTAGGGTACTGGCTATTGACACTTCTAATGCCAGATCTTTAGGCTTCATTTGGTTGCAGTGCGGATTTCTTTTGCACCGGTGTAAATATATGAGTGCAAATGGACTGTGTGTAAAAACTAGTTTACTTTTCCTTCAGAGTTGAGGCTATTTTGTAGCCTGATATCCATGTTTTCTGTTGCAATATTTTTTGTTGGCAGAATGTCTCAATTCATGGGATATGTGACCTGTTCCGACAACCAGATGACATTGATATCTCTCCAAGAACACGAGACACCTTGAAATGTCACTGGTAACTGGGTTTCTGGTTTTTTCTGTCACAACTTTAGGCAAAATTGACACTGAAGTTCCACTTCTGGGTCAATGTTTCCTTAATTGTGAAGGACAGAAACTCAGTCCCACCGCAGATAATCCTCTTCATCAGTAGGGGCAGTGCAGCCMTACAAGAAACATCAGCTTGATTCATGTCCCAGATTTCAATGACCCCAAATTTGTCCAGACTCTTAAAATCTCGCCATAAACACGCACTGATTTTAGCTGAGCTTCATGTTTCCTTAATTGCTTCTTGCTGCTTAAGGCAATCATTAATTCTTTTGGTTGCTCGAGACAAAGATCAAGCAAATTGTAGATTCATCAAATCTCACCGAATATCAGATATTGGTTGTGATTAATAATTTAATATAAATTACAAAGCCCCAAATGATCTTATATTAATTAACAGACGCCTCAAATATCTCAAATTCCCTCTGTTTATTTGTGTACGCCCACTTAAGGGTGTTAGTCTTAATCACTCTTCAGCGAATCAAGAGATTAACCTATTAAATTATTCATGTGAAGTATGGATTAAGAAAGGCAATTTGCATAAAATTCCTTCAACTTTCTTTAGTTTTTCCTTCTTCACAGATGATTTCATTCCCTCTCATCTTCAATGGGGTAGTGACTTTGGAATCCTTTTCATGTCTTGCTTCCTTTACTTTCCTTTCTACACTTCCATGAAGGTGATTTGTTGCTTTTCTAGAAGAATATAGACTTTCTTAAGAAACAATATCAACTGCATTTATCTTGATTTAATTAATTAATTAATGTTACTAATTTAATATATTTATCTATTAATCTATTTTAGAGCAGAATATTATGTAATATTCCTAGCTAGGCAAATGATGCATGTCAGCAGAGCCAAATTTACCAATTAGTTAATTATAAACTACCATACCTGAGAGAAATTTCAGAAAGAAATAAATAGATATTTCAAGCAAGTACAAGGAAAGAGATAGAAGAAAAATCTACCAAAAAGTGTCTTAATGGATGGCGGTTTTGCCTTGGTACTCTTCTTCAATTCAGCTGAAAACAGGAATGTACAGGAAAAGCAGCCAAAATCATCAATAAGATGGAAATTGTGAATAAGATAGCAAGGAATAATAAATGGTATGGTCTTTTAAAGATTATTACCATTAAAGAAAATGCAAAAATTAATCAAATTAAAACCAATATATTGGGAAAAGGATTTGCTAGTTAGGTCACTATGTGAGCTTCCATAAATGACCTAGGAATCTTCTATGTGGCAACTAGGTTTGCAGCTTAAAAGAGATCTTTAAATTCCTCTAAACTGCCCTTTATACCTGCAAAAGACTTTGCCCCAGAAGACTTTGCCGTGTATTAAAAATAGAACCTTTTTCTTTAGATAAATGGTGAATTTCATTAAAAAAGAGGGAGAGTTTCTCTCAAGAACAAAAGCAGATTAAAAAAGAGGAATGAAAAGGTTTCTTTTATCAGTCATTGATGGAGGAGAGAAGCAGATTAGAAACTCAGGCTAGGAGTGCTGTGTCGTTCATTCAGAAGCTATGGAGCTTTATAATGAGGTATGGTCAAGAAATTAAAAAAAGAAAATCATTGTACATGATATCAGTGTTTCACATGTTTTATTGCCTCCCTGCCTTTTTTTAATTATTATGGTGCTTGTACAGAGGAAAGAGAGTAATTGCATCCAAGGGTAAAGAATTAAGACAAACTGGAAAGTGCCCCTGCTTTTCCTTTATTGCTTCTGTGGGATAGTTGCTGGTATAGTTGGCAGATTACTTGGTCTTGGAGGAGGCTTCATCTTGGGTCCCCTTTTTCTTAAATTAGGAGTTCCTCCTCGAGTATCCCATGCATCAAATGCTGTTAAAGAATTTACCTCTCACTATAATTGATTATAACAAGATTTAAAACATGAGACTTCCTAGGTTTAACACTTTTTGGTGGGAGGGGGAACCTCAGATCCAGACCCAGCATCAAATTATGCTTTCAGCCACTAACAACAAACTGTTTTAACCACTTACACTTGCTCAATAAAAAATAAAAAAAAAGAAAGTTATTAATTAGCATAATTGTTCTTTGGAAGTTCTTAGATGAAATTAGATCCTTCTATCTTCCTTACATATTTCTGTCCAGGAAACATACACATCTTTTACTAGTGGCAGMTGAGGTGGAAATTTAAATTGGGTCAATATGGTTTTCATAATTATGCTCCTTCCATGTAGTAAACTTGAAGCAAATAGTCTTTTATCATGTCATATAAATGATCATACTTCTCTGGCCCTTATTACAAATGAAAATTAAGAAAACTAAGGGAAAATTATCCAAGTGGGAGTATGAAGTTCATCTTAATAGGGTAAGTATGTCCATGACAATTCAGAAGGTCCTTTTTGAAATGAAATATCTGGATCTCCTCCTAAGCCAGCCTTCCATATGTCAGCAAATGCCTTTGCTACTTGCTCTGAAGCCTGCAGCAACAGTAGACAGTTTTTACCTGAACATAAATAGGAAAACCTATATTTTTTAAACCCAAATGAGGGAAAATATTTTTATAAAATATTATTTCCTGATAATAAAACTTTCAATCAAATAGACTGTTGAACCAACAGTGCCATTTCAAGCGATTCGCCTATTGACGATGGAAACATTTCCTCATCCACGAATACAACCATTTCTATTTCTACTTTTCCTTGTTTGAAATTTGAATCTCTGCAATTAATGGCCGGTTGACATAACCACATAATTGTGGCCACCCCCTAGCTACCCCACTTTTCTCTCTCCCCTAAATTAGTAAAACAACCTTCATCGCAAAACCTCGGTTCATTGTTGAATTTTTACAGAAATTCGTGCACTTCGATAAACACGCTTAATTTGTTTACTATACTTCTTTGAGAGCCAAGCTCTAATGCTCCCCTGGTGTGTCCGATCTCTCTGATCTCWGGTTTACAGTCACACTATTGCCCAGAAAAAAAAAATTATAAGAAAAAACTGACGTACAGCTTAACGAGAAAGTATAGAAAATATCTGCTACTTAATTTTGCTAGTATTTCCATGGGGGAGTAAAAAATCGATAGCAATAAATTCTGCATTAATATTTATAGAGTGGAGATGATTAGAAGAATGTAATTTTTGAAACTGCGCACAACCTCCCATCTACAATATCACCAACAAGAAAATTTCTGAAGATGATCAGAAGAGTGAATAGTAATATGTAGATACGCAAAACCCTAACAAATAGAGAAAAAGAGACAACATATATCATCAATCACAAAGAGGGAAGAGAAATATTTACCTGTGAATTGAATGTTGCGGATGTGCCTGAGAGAGAGACCACAAGAGAGAGATTTGCTGATATGCGACCATGTGTGTGAGAGAGATAACGATAGAGAGCGCGAGTGCGAGAGAGAGAGAGAGAGAGAGAGAGAGAGGACTGAGAGAGAGGGAGAGAGAGAGGAGATAACGATTGAGCAAGAGAGGGACGACTGAGAGAAAGAGGGAGAGAGAGAGGAGAGAGACGACTGAGAGAAAGCGAGAGAGGGAGAGCGAGAGGGATGACTGAGAGATGGCGGGGAGAGGCGTGCGGTTTTAAACGACTGCCGCAAGAAATATCGATTTCCAACGACAGTCGCCAAATAGTCAGGTCGAAAACTGCCGCTAAAGATGTTTTTTCTTGTTGTGACTTGCCCGGCATTGAAGTGAGGTAGGGAAATTTGAGGATTCCCCATCCCCAATAGGGAGTGAGCCTTGCCTTGAACTCACTTGATATTAGGGACGGGGTGAGGATGGGGTAGAGTGTCTTGACTATGGGGCAGGAACAAGGATAAGGTGCCCCACCCCGATCCCGCCCCATTGCCATTCCTATATATTTGTTAATTATTAGTGAAACTAATAAAAATGTTAGCTTTTGTAATTATTTTTATTTAATTAAAGTCAATCAAATTTTCATTTAAAAATAATAACAGTTATTAAAATTATTACAAATGATTAATAAAATTAAATTTATTACAAAATATTTATTCATATTAAATTAACAATAATTATTTTCTGTCAATTGACATTAAATGAAAAAATATAATTATTAAATTTTAAAATATTAACAATAACTTTGAATACTTTTAGTTAATTAACAACAAATTTTGATTATTAATTTATTAACTAATTCATAGTAAAAAAATTTATTCAATCTTTAAGAATTACTCTCTCTCTCTCACGTTCTCAATAACCTAAATAATATCCTCTCCTAAAATTTCTCCTAAACTACCTCCCCCACTTTCTCCTAAATTATCTCTATTCCTATTTATCTCCTAAATTATCTCTAATTCCTATTTATCCTCTCCCCCACTTTTTATCTATATCTACCTAAAGAAATTTGAATTAAAAATCTTAAAAATTATTTAAATATTCTAACAAAATTATAAAATAACTTTAAAATATTTATTAAAAACAAAAAAATAATTATAATAGATTTAATAATATTCATATTATTAATAATTTTGTATTTTACAAAATTCATCACGAAATTATGTAGTAACAATATAAATTATAATTTTTGGATTATTCAATTTAAATGGTATTCAAACAAATATTATTTAAATATTTCAATAACTATATATCTTAAAAACAAAATATTTAAAATTATGTGATAGTTTTAAAATAAATAAAATTTGAATAACAAAAAATTTAAATATTTTATATATTATTTGAATATTTAAATAACTAAATATTTTAAATAGAAAAATATTTAACATAACAAGATTTTAAATAGTTAAAATAATGAAATTATGTAATAAATTTAAAAAAATTCTTAAAGTCAAAAAATAATTACAAAATAATATTCAAATAATAATAATTTAATATTTTACAGAATTAATAACGAAATTATATAATAATATTATAAAATATAATTTTATGGACTATTAAATTCAATAAATAATTAATATTTTTAAATTTAAATAATGATATTCTTTTATATAACTAAATAATATTATAAATAAATAATTTCACTTATATCAATTAATAATTCTAGAAAATAGCTTTCAAAAATATTAATATTTATTAGTAATAATTTTAAAATCTTAATCTATATTTATTATATATTTATCTATACTCAAATTAATATTTATTGTATTTTTAGTAATGTTTTATTATTTAATTATTTTATCTACTTAAAGACAAAGTTTAATTTTTATAAGGTGGTGAGGAATAAAAAGAAAACTTGGGAAACGTAGTGTCTACAGTGGCATTTGATTGTAATACCTTCTTTGACCAAGCAGTTCTGGCTTCATTAATGCTCCTAAGGTTCTGCATGCATAGAATATCAGAACTGCAGTCTGCAGTCCCTAAGACAAAGGGCTGTGTAAAATTCAGTTAAGTTAGCTTGCATGTATCAATGTGTGATTTTGAATATTATGCTATGTTACCCTGATATGGAGAGGACAGAGCTGGAGATGGTAAAGGATACCAAATTTGTACTAAAAATTGAAGTGTCTGACMGGTATTTGGGACCTCTGGGTATATAACTGTTATTCAGATGGATATTGAACCTTCTTAAGAACACTTTGACATGTGCTGAAAATAGGTGACTGATGTAAAAGGACAGAAAAAACAAAGAAAACTAGGGCAATGATAGGGTTCAAAGCTAGGATTCAGGGCTATGAAGATGGGGTAGGTCTGAGGAATGATTTAGAATTGTTAGAGAATGTTGGGATTTAAGAAAGAGAATTCTAGAGAAAGAAAATATGCTAAAATGCTGCATCAAAGAGAAAAATAACAGATATACGCAAGTAACTACAGTGACTCCAGTTATTGTTCTTCACCATAAATATGAAATTGTTACTGCATTCGAGTCCCACAAATTTTTTTATTTGATTGTTGATTGATCTGAAAAATTTTATTATAAAGAAGTAATAGAAAGAATTACAAGTATATAAAAGCTATCATACTCCATAAATCTTACAAATGAACCCTTTAGCTCCCCATCCCAAATAAAGATCGCCTATTGGGTAATTGTAAGCCCTTGATATAGGTCCACTGCCTCTGTCCTATGTCTAGCTAATTCATTTGCTTGTGAATTGGTTGGTCTCCTAATTCATCTGAACTAGGTATTCATTCTACCAGCCAGAAGTCTTGCTTATCTAATTGTATATCTAAACTCTGAACCTCCATGGTGCTTTTCACCCTTTCTAGCTAACCTATGACCAGATGCGAGTCCCTTTTCACCTCCAATCTGTCCTCAGAGAATAGAAAGTTCTGTCTTGATTGTATTCCCAACACCTATCAGTCTAGATCATATTAGTAGCTTAGTCCTTTTAAAGTGAATGAATAAATTTTCAACTTCAACTGTCCATCATACTCATTTCCTCAATATAAGTTGTGTCATGATATTTGCAGAAAAGGGATCAACAGTGAATTCCCTTTTTAGCTGAGGGATYTTAACCATGAATGGTTTGAGGTAAAAAGTTTTAAGTTGAGTGTCATACCTTTTCTCTAAGAACTGAAGCTTATGAAAAAAGATGATTACAGAGTCTCCCAAGATGAAAAATACCTAGAGAAATGGTACCCTGAGGGAGCAAAACAAGGAGAAGAGCACTGGTAATTAGGGTCAGATTCTGGATTGCTTCCACTCTCATGATTAACCACTCCAAAGCAGCATTGGAATGAAAGAATAGAATTGCGTTTGTATCAATGAGATTGAAGTAGTTGTGGAAGAGACTCTTTGTCATGCCAAAAATCTCATATTGTGACTACTCCAAGTGATGTTTCAGCTGCATAATTCATAACAGGTGCCTTTGTTGTTCCATTAATTCTTATTAGCTCTCTTGTAGAGGCTAGATGGTATCTCTTCAAAAAAAAAAAAAAAACAAGGACCCCTAAATAAAGGCAAATAAAATACAGGCAAAAAAAGTAGAGGTGAAAAAGGAAAAAGAGTTCCACCTGAATGTACTATGTAGATTGCAGGGCAATAATTGCTACAAATAGAACTCGCCATGTGACAAAAGCCATGATACCTACAGATGATAAAACTCAATTGCAGTTGCTGTTACAAAACAAATAGAGAAAGGTATGTCGAAATCCACGACACTCGAATCTGAAGATGCCTATAAAAATAAACATTTCCATGAGTAGCCATGTGGGTGATCATGAATCCTAAAAAAAAATCTATGTACTGAAAAAATAGGTCAATATTATTGAGGTAATGTGAGCTCTAGGATCCAAATGGTAGGCATATTGCACCTAACAAGTTAAATGTTAATTATCCCAAAATATCATTTATTTTAATTATATAAAAGGGAAATTTTTCTAAGATGAGTTATTGGACAAGGAATCTGTTAGAAAACAAATATTGGGCAACTCAAAAATAATGCATCAATAAAGGACAAAACAAAATATCATCAAGTTCATGGGAACCAGCTGTAGTAAAGGATAAGATGGAACAAGTCAACTAAGGAAACATTAAACCTATAATTTGACATGTTATATGGCCATTAATAGATAGGAATAGCAGAACAAGGGTCACTTTACCAACTCTAACTAAATGGGATAAGGTTAATTCTGAAAGTATGTAACTAGACATCTATGCTCAAATACCTAGTATACATCAATATCTCTTTAGATGTTTGTCCAGGAAAGACTATCTAAATATCATAATCAAATGGTTCATTAATTAAAACAAGGAAGTCTTACCCGGGTTAAAACCCTTTCAACTATGGTTGAATCAAAGAAGAGCATTGGAGCTTTGAAAACAGAATTGGTGAAACCTGAAAAGAAGCACTGTTGATATCCAGTGTATACTACAATTAAGAGGCTATTGTTGTTTTGAGGAATATCAGGAACTATTGCCAGCCAATAGGAAGCGGCCATCTGAAGAGCAACAAAAGCAGTTTGTGCAAATATGCATAAACCAAGAAGAAGAAAACCCTTTGATACAATGAGATAATCCAATAATTGCTTCCGTCCTACATCTCCAATCTCCCTCTCTTCATCTTTTGTTAGCTAGACCCTAGAGAGACCCTTGATGGCAATCTCCACTTCGTTGCTGTATTTTGTGGTATAAGATGTAATAGAACCATTTACCCTTTGGCCTCCTATCGAGAACCCTTTTACCCTTCGACCTCCCATCCAAAACTCCTTTTCAACCAGCTTTTAGTGGATTGAGAGAAAACCCTATTACCATTATCCCAAAATATAAGTATTAAACAATGAAAAACAATTAAAGGGTTATAGAATCACCTTCTCTTCTCTTGGTCAAATGAAAAAGGATAGATGCTGGTACAGAGATCTCCCAATCGATGAAAAGAATCCCCCCCTCTCCTAATCGATCGATTCATGCATACAAGGAGCCTTCTCAAGTGATTTGTGCATGCAAGGAGCTTTCCCATGCGTCTCTGAACTTGTATTTCAACGATTTCGAGATTCTATGCCTCCTCAAACTTTTCCTGCATTCTCAGTCAAAGAATGAACAACAATTTCGTGCATGCTTCTAAGTGGAGTTCTGCAACAAAAATACTCCTCTTTGGCAAAACCTTTTGCCTTTGTGGAACGCGCGAATAAGAGAGGACGCGGGAGCAAAACCATTTTGAGTTTTGTCTAACTTTTCTCCCCTCTCTCTCACCGGTTGAATATATTTAGGTTGGTCCAAACCCGGTTCATGATTAGAACCGTCATTCTGTTTCAAAAAACCGCCGTTTTTTTTATTTTTCTTACATACTAAGGTTTTGAGGCAGAGATCGTTTTAGGATCGCCACCTTAGCCCTAACTATAGTGGATTGTACGTGAGAGCTGAGTTTGCTCGACAGACATTTTATCTTGTAATTAAGGCTCAGTTTGGAAAGAGTACGAATACATACAAAATGCAAGGTCTACATATTTGCATTTGTACTCCTTCCAAACAGAGCCTAAGGGTTGGGTAGATAAATAAATAAATAATGCTGGATGCCTGAACCCACCTCGTTAATAGGCCCAGTTGTTTTCATTAGTTCATTTGTCATGCTCAAGCTAGCAGCTAGCCTAGCAGAGGAAATTTCATTCCATTTTGCAAGTTTACGGATCTGAGAGATTTTTCATCCCATTAATTTTCATGGTAGGAGTAGGACGCATTGAATGGTCAGTCCTGATCATTATTTTAATATACGACAATGACAAGTTATGGAGACCCATGCAGTCGTTCCAGTTATGGGTTTCTGTTCTTCTGTATCCCCATTTTCTGGGTTCGTGCAACTCAATCATCTTCAACAAATTCACGGGTGTTATTCGAGTTATGGTCATGGACTCTAGAATCTAGCTAGCTAGATGGTCTAATACTAAAGCCCATAACCCATTCAGTAAATAGTACAAATGCTGTGAAACATGAACACACTAGCAAGTAGCAATCCAAACCGAAAAATAGGATTACCCTATGTCTTGTAAAATCAACTAGGATCATATCAGTTTTTATTGGGCAGTTGAAATTTTTCTGCACTCGTACGTGGTGGCAGAAAATGTAAGCTTGCTCGACCTCACAAGAACCCCAACAAAAAATGAAGGTGACAAGACAGAGAGTGCAGCAGCAGGGAAGAACTCCCAGGTCAGGGTATAGGTAAAAAACGGAAGAAAAGAAAAGAAACAGTAACAGACTGTAATTAATCATTAATGTACTAGTGTATGTAGGACCCATATGGGGATCAGATGGCTGGTGGTAGATCGATCACATCTCCCGGATATCAGAAGCGGGAGCATTCTGATCGGTGTGAGGTGCAGTGACAATCTGCTTAGAGTCTCCATTAATGACAACCAACTCTGTCAAGCCCAACTCGTCTTCTTTGCTTTTCCTTGACTCCTTCAATCTCTGAGTAGACTTGTAGAACGTGGCGTACAATATAAGTTGAGCCAGCCCCAGCAATGTCCCCAGACCATTAGGAATCTAGTATATGCATCAACCACAAATAATCCATATAAATTCATTGCAGAGAGCAATGTCTAGATAGCGTAGAAATTCATTGCAGAGAGAGAGAGAGAGAGAGGGAGAGAGTTGATTACTATGATAAAAAGGTCGAAATGGACGAGAGCATAAATGGTCCAGCAAACACCATTGGCAAAGGAGGCCAGGGACAGGAAAAATGGCATGTATTCCACGCTCTTAGTCGTAATGACTAGTTTCTGCATCATCATCACACAGACAAATTAAGTGAGCAACTCCCTGAAACTAACTGATCACGAAGCTTATAGAATAACTAGCCACTCTGTGAAAAGTGAAAACCCCCCCAAAAATGGTTCCTGGCCTTTAAATCAAATGAAAGACCAACTGATCGATATCTTGTTTGAATCTCTATCTAGGACTCGAAGTCAAAGCCCCAAAGGGACCAGTAACATCCAAAGATGACTGAGTCAATAGGCCAAAAATGAAGGAAATTGAAAGACAAAAATTGATGAATGATAGCAATGCCACCTGAAGATGATGAAATTTTCTATGGAAGTCGTTGAATTAATGGGTGGAAGAAAAACAGAACGAAGGGAACTCTGACACTGACACCCAACCATCTTCTCAGACCACCAATAAAAATCCCATGATCCTTGTTTATTTTATGTATGATTCAACTTAGAACAGTGTTTGTGATCGGATCACTAACAACATATATGTCGTCAGTTTTTATTGGATGGACCCAAAATTTTGCTATGACCAAGCATGGTGATACTGGTCGCACCAGATGGCAACCCAGTCAACTCGAAATTCTTTGCTTTTATTTTATTTCTACTACTTTCTACCCTTACTGCCTCAGTTCCCATGGTACTAACCATGATCGACAAAGGTGCAGCATACATCAGAGTCCCGAAGAATACACAGAAGCTCCCGACAATCAGAGATCGACGATCATGAGTGTGAGCTAGCGTCAAAACCAGAACAGCTATGGCACCCACGAACGCGAACTCCACAAGCATCATTGCTAGAATTCTTATCCTCTTTCTTCTATCAGAGTAGAGTAGGAAGAGGAACACGTACGCCAGCTCGATAATGAAGCCGGCGCCATTAATGGTTATGACTAGTATGCTATGGGGATGCACAGGTGGAAGCCCATACACGATCCAGAGCATGCAATTAAGAAGGGTCGCTAGATATGGAACTGGCGAGAATTGCTCAACTGATCCCTTCTTCCATATCTGAACAAAAGTTGGCCTGAAATAATTCACGAAAACCACTCATTTGTTTATGTCAAAATTCAGATTGTATTTTGATGACCAACTTCACACAAGATGTTTGACAGTAAAAATTTGGGTTCTAAGCTTACACTGGTGACAAGAACAGGGCAAGTGAAATACCGTTTCCTGTAGATAAGCAAAAAGTCTATGTTAATTCTCAACTGTAGTAAGCGACAAGCAATGAAGGCATCAAACAATAACAAGGAACAACATTTCTCTAGTGCAACAGAGTCAGACATTCAGAGGTTGCGCACCTAAAATACCAACTGCGGTTCGAACAGCATCTGCAGAAACCATGGTTGGTCGACGGAGAAGGCAGAAAGATTTTGAAGGAAATTGAGAAAAGAACAGCGATCTCGTCTCTGACTTTGTGGTGATAGGATCGGAGAAACGGTTATATATATTGAGTAGGTTTGCAGTTCATAAGCCCCTCTACCTGCAGTTTTAAAAATAGAATCTGGTTGGTCACCTGCCTGGCTTGTGGGGAATGAGTACAACACATGGAACTCTGGAGAGGAGTTAATATGACCAATGGGCTTAAATCCAAGATTCTCAAAATCCTAGCGTACAGGTTGCGGTGATAGATCTTCGACGGTTGCTTGAGAGTTGAAGCAATAACTGCCAATAGAATACTAGCTAGCTAGCATTTAATGGGGGCAAGTAGAATCTGTCGGGGAATCAGTTCGTCACTGTATTTAAGTTGAGCTTATCCCAAATCTATGGCTGCAGTAAGAAAGAAAGAAGAACGTTTTATTCAAAACATGGTACTCAATTTAAAACCCAATTATTTTCTGGTTTTCCGCAGCTGTTTCTTCGATTAACGTGTTAAATGAATCGGATCAGAAGTGACAAGTGAATAGCATTTTCTCGCTTAAGCAAAAAGGAAAAGCATTCATTTTCAACAGTTTCATGCAACCCGACACTGTAGAATTATACTTTCTAGAAATTATTATTCGTGCAATTCTTGTCTTACATGCAACCATGTACAGTGAGAAAAACTTTAAGAACACAGAAAATAATAATGATATTTTGGCATACACATCCTGTGTGCACCAAACGGTCCCCTTGATCATTCCATTGTTTTCTCTATAACCCTCTTGTTTAATTTCATTTGGGTTGGCCATGGCAGCATCTTAAACATGGACAATGCCATTTTGATTTTGCCTTGCACATCCATCAGTTTTGCCACATCTCTCTCTCTCTCTGTGTTTGATTGGAAAGGGTTATTTGCTGAAGTAGTGTTGTAGGTAGGAGAGATCAATAATTCTGATACAGAAGCGGTCATCTGCACAAAACACAAAAGTTCGACGGGCGCCTGCCGCATCTGCCATGCAATATGCCGTATGCGTGACAGCCTGAGTAAGCATCCAAAATTGCATGCGTTGGAGCCTGCAGATTTGACGGTCAGTCTGTCTGAGGGTGAGGGAGGGCTAACTAATGTGGACTGGACGACTGGTAAAGAGAGTCCCCATCATCGATATCGGTCAGAGAGAGAGAGAGAGAGAAGACACTGTATCGTACGCATGCAGACTAGGTATTCGTCCCGGTGCCACAGCTGACAAAAATAGGCCATGTCGTTTAGCAAACTTCTGTAGTTGATCTGATCATTCATAATATGAACGCATACATGTCCCAGCTGGAAAGGCATATGATTTTATGTGAAAATCATATGCTATGGGACTGAAAAGGCAAAATAAAATTATTTTCCTTGATAGCGAAAATGATGGGTTTATCAGAATTATTGATATAGGCCAATATATCTTTTGACGATTCCAATGTGACGCAGACTAGCATTAATTGTTCATTTCATTTGAGAATATTGATGATAATGTTGCAATGCAATGATCAGGTTAATTATTTTGCTAAACCTTTCCGTAAACGATAAGCAATAGAGTGATTATATACCATGGGTCTTACACTTAGATTTATATTAGTCTCTAAGGCAAAAGTTTGGAAAGGAGTAAATAAATATGTAGGGTGTAGTCTCTTCTTTCAAATTATTTTGTATATATTTGTATTTATAATACACATATATATAGATACATACACACAAGTGAGTTCAATGAATCTTTGGTCTTTTACATTATTAGTTAATTAAAATCAGACTGATAATTTTGGTTTTTTAAAAATGTCAAATCTATCAATTCGATTAATCGATTTTCAGGGTGTTTGATTTTGTTTACGTAAACTAAGAAATATATTTAATGAGGACGTTTATGACATATAGACACTATTAGGCACCACATCAGCAAAATACCCCTACTCGTTTCATGAAGCTTCCTCAAATGGAAGAGGCGCTATTAGGCACCACATAAACTGAAATTTGCTTTTGCAAACTGCATTTACTAATGGAACGCCTATATGGCACTGTCAGTAAACATAAACGGAATCAAACATATATTTCATTAATTTAATGTATTTTTTTAATTTTTTATAAACACGTCTAGCAAGATGCATGAGTAAAACTTGAATGGATAGAAAGTCTAAGACAGTAAATGCCAAATAAAAATAAAAATAGCATAATGATAAGAAATCATAGTAGAGTCGAAGCATCCACAAGTGCTGGTTAATTTATATTTTATACCTTGTCCAAAAATTTAATTAATTATAAAGGGGCAACAAGAATCGAACACGATCAAAATTATTAAGCCTTATAAAAGGATGATATCATATCCCTAAATGTGTTTTTATTCTCTGACACAATTTGCCTTTGAATTAAAGATTATTCGAAATGTCTTAACTTCATTATTTAACCAAAAAGAAAAAAAAAATAAAAGGTATGTTCATCATGGGAACCTATCTCATCCTACACGACGATACCTTTTAGAAAGCAATTAACGTCTTTTATAAATAAAGTTTTTAAAATTGAATCGAACAATGAATAGGTTAAGATTSTGGTTCTTGGATTGAATTGATTCGAATTGAACAGACAGTCTATTTTGATAAAAAATAAATAAATAATTTTAAAAAATAAAAATGGTTAATACTGTTAGATGGTTCAAATGATTCAAATGGTTTGACTGTCCGAATCAATGATTTATTGATCAAATCAATGATTTTTAACAAAATAACGATTTTGAGGTAAATAATCTGATTCCCAGTTTTTTCGATCTGACCATCCGGTTCAGCTTTGAAAACCATATTTTTAAGTTATAATCAACAAGTTCTGGTCCAATCTCTCGCGTTGAACACTAAAGGAATAATCAAGACCATACCATTAAACAATAAACATAGATCTATTCTAATTTTATGCCTTACCTTCGACTTGACACAACTAATTACAAGTGGGAATCAGAAACCAACGTGCATCTGTAAGATTTCTCAGACATGCTTACAAGAGATGGAAGGTGGTTAATTGATGGTCCTACATGGACCTTTATSTAATGTATAACTTCAGAGCTTGGCTATAATTGATGGTCCTATGATTTTGTATTTTCCAAAATATTACAAACATCCAAAAATGGGGTATAATTTGTGCATTTCATTTTTTAAATTCTTTGTTTCAAAAGACAGGGAAGCCTATGGGCTTATGAATTGTTTTTCTTGTTTCCGATACCAAAAACAAATCAAAACAATCTGATTTATAAATAGATCGTTTCTCAAAGTCATGGTTTTTGAATCGCCGTTGATCCAGACGGTCGGACCATTTGAACCGGAAATAATTTAGGCAACTGGTTCCGTTTTATCTCAAACTCGGTCTTTGACCAAAAACTGATGAAAAAGTCAACAACCTATTGACCCGAATGGTCGAACCATTGACCTGTTCAATGGTTTTTGGCCATTTATTTATTTATTTTTATTTTTTAAATTTTTTTGTCGGCAACATATATATGATAATCCACTTTATTATTATTGTTTTCTTATCCTTATTTTCTAATAAAGAAAGATTTTYTTACGAATACCAGAAGGATTCGTTGGAATCTGATGTAACCGTTTTTAGTCACGTACCATTTTTTGTGATGTATAAAATTTTTGGCTAAGTACCTCGTTGTTTGACTCGGTGGTGACGAGCTACTTGGTGGCGAACTCCCTGGGGGAGAACTACTTGGTGACGAACTGCTTGGTGGCGAACTACCCAGTGGCGAGCTCCCTGGTGGAGAGCTACTTGGTGACGAACTGCCG